TGTGACAATGCCGATGGCGCCGCCGCGAGTGCTAATCGTAATGCCATCATTACCAATGGGTTTAGTAATTACGGTTTCTTGCCTTGAGATTAGTTTTCTCTATTTTGCTTTTGCATGTATTTGTAGTTTTGTACATAAAAATTTACAGTGCTACTTATGTGTTAGTATTAGTTTCAGGAGTACTCTTTTTCTTTTTCTTTTTTTTTTTTCTTTTGTAATTTGTATAGAGGCTGGTTTTTTGCGGGATTGGTAAGAAACTAAGAATTGCAACTATAATTGTGCAACATAATTTTATTTTTATTTTTTTACTTACAAGGAATAGATAATGTCATTGTAATTTTTTTAAATCTTTTTAATTAATTGGAAATTATAACTTTTAAAATAATTGTCATAAAAATTAATAATTTTTTTATATAGAAATTTGTGATTAAATAATAATATAAAAATCCTTATGTTATTTGTAAATCAATGATTGAGGAATAAAAATCCTTATGTTATTTGTAAGAAAATTGATTTTATCATATGGAAGAGATGATAGGAAAGCAGTCAACATCGAATTGAACAAAAAGAGATGGAAACCGCGTGATGCATGTTATCCAACAAAACCATCTTCATTGCATTTATGCATCATACCAGCTACCCTAGTGGTTTTCAAACTCCATGAACTGGATAAAGACTCATTGAGAGTCTAAGACAATTTAAATTTTTTTTTTTAATAATTATCATAATATATATATATATATATAATATAAATGTTAAAAAGAATCATTATTAGATTTTATATATAAAATTTAAAATGCAAATATAATCTTTTTTTAAATACATATTAATAATTCTATTAAAGAAAGGAAATATTTCTGTCCACCATTGTTATAAGTTCAAGACTTCCATTGTCATTGTCACTGCTCGCTTATGCATCTTCTCCTTTTTGTTTTCTTCTCCTCGGATACTCACATAACCCCCTTTTACCCTTCTAATGGATGTCAATTTTCAAAAATATGACCATATTTTTCCGACACTTTTTAAATATCTTTTACTTTCCTTTTGTGTACACATAATATCTTTTACTTTTCAGTTAGATGTAATTTTATATAAATAATAATAAAGTTGTTAAAAAATGTTACATAAAAAATTGTGTTTGAAGCATTTCTCTAAACTATTAGTCCATTACCAAGTACCCATATTTGTACCAATTCCGTCAGTTAACGAGAATACCGTCAATCATTCGAGTCAAAGGTGCATTTGCTAGCAAGCATTTAACCATCACCAATAGTTTATTAAGCAACCTTCAGCAAGAAGCTCAATTTCCACTACGTGTGGAAGTACTCCACTGCATCTTCATTCATTAAACAAATAATGTTCATCAAAAGGAAATACCAAAATGAACGGTGTATAAAGGGTAAAGGAGACAAGACAAACGAGGGACATAAAGTCATAGCAAATGCTTATTTTAAGATGTTCATAAAAGAAAAGAAAATTGATAACATTTAAAATATAAAAAAAAAAGATTCCCTTTAAGTTGACGAGTTGACATAACTATAGGACACAATACCCTCATACATTATGGACTTGTGGAGATGATTTATTTAGTTAGAATCTCAAGTTTAATTTCTATTATACTTGAAAATCCTTCAAGTTAATGACAATTATAATATTCTGAAACAAAATTAGTTTCTAGTCCAGTAGAGTAAAAATACTTGTTAAGACAAAAAGTAGAATAATTATTTAAGATGATGAGTTGATATAATGATGAGACCCTTTATACTCATTCATTATGAATTTGTAAAGATGATTTATTTAATAAGAATCTCGTATTTGATTCTCATTATATACTAAAAAAAAATCCTTAAAGTTAACAACAATAACAATACTGTAAAATGAAATTAGTCTCTGATCCAGTAAACTAAACATAACTGAGTCATTATGATAGGACTAAAAAGTAGAGATGCCCTTTAGCTACATGGTCCCTTTGATGAATCTATCCTAATTCCTGAAGATTTTTCCTAATGGAAGGACCATTGGAGTTCCACACCCTTAATGGTTATAAAAAGGTGATAATCGATCGATATGGCATCTTGTACACTTTGTTAATTTTAAGTAGGATGATATTGTTGAGGACCCACCCACCATTAATCTTCCTAGGTTATCTTTTATTCTCCTCTCATGTTCGGCTTTAGTGTGAAGTGTGAACAACTCACCAAGAAAGTTGAAAGCTTGCGACTCGAAAAAGCAATGTAGACCATATTTTTCAGAGATCCTCAAGATACATTGTTAGAAAGCAACATGATTGCAAAAGATTATTACAAAATACATTTATTCCACTTTGGTTAATGCTACATGCCACACTCCCCTCGTACAATATTGTTTGTTTTCACTTTTCAACCGAGTTAGTAGTTGCTACCTGGCCTACTTTTCCTACTTTTTCCACGCCTTTTTCTAAGTCTCTAGCTAATCACAACATGACATCTCCGTAGGCAACTTATTGAGTCGTATGCTACCTGCATTTTCTCTCATGCCACCTAAAAGTATGGATAGTCAAAATTTATGATAGCAAGAAAAAAAAATAAGTTGAAAAGAAAAAGACTAGAAAAAATAAATAAAGAAGAAATCAACATAAGCTAAGGTGTTAACACAATTTTTTAATTGATTATTTTTTAAGTACAGTCAATTAAGAAGGTGGTCTAGAAGAGCACGAACACACTCCAATATAATTCAATCAATTATTTAAAAATTTCAATCGATTAAAATGACAACTTAAAAAAAATGAACACACTCTAATATAAAGAATGCAAGTTTTAATAAATCAAAATAAACATGCGGTCGATTACAAGGAAGCATGAAATTTTTAACCGATCGATTAAAACGAGCATTTAATAGATTAGAATGGACAAATAGTTAAAACTGTTCTTACCGGAAATCTGCCGTAGAGATGATCCTCCGAGTTAATATTGATGCTATTTTGAAAATTCGTGGTGCTGTAAAATATGTACGATCTTCCCCTTCTAGGTTGCCTAAATTCAAGACATGTGTTAAGAAACAAAATATTAAATACAAACGCCTTGTTTGCTTGGATGTGGAAACCAGATGGAATTCTACCAACTTAATTTAGAGGCTGTATTGAAACTTCATAAGGCTTTTGAAGAGCTTGAGATGCAAGATAAAAAGTATATCCAAGAGTTAGAAAAGGTAAAGGGTGTTCCTTCATATGCTGATTGGGAATTTGTGCGTGCAATCCTACCATTTCTAAAATTGTTTTATGATGTTACTTTGCGCATGTCTAGCTCAGTTTATGTAACTAGCAATATATACATGTTTGAGGTCTTTGGAATTGAAAAAAAGATCAGCCAAATGTGTAATTCTAGGGATATAAATGTATGCATTATGGCAGAAAATATGAAGAAGAAATATGATAAGTATTGGGGCAATGCTGATCGTCTAAATATGTTTTTACTTATTGCTCTTGTGTTGCATCCAGGATACAAATTACAGTTCATGCATTGGTTGATTAGTCAAAATTTTGATGGTGATCATACTTAGATAACTTAGCATAAAGCTATTTTGGATATATCCTCACCTTCAATTCCAATATGATGATATCACACTCTAAGGTCAATCTTTCTAAACACACAAACACCCACTAATTAATCCATACGGTCATCTATCCTCATATCAACATACACGCATATCAAATCATATTAGAATACCTACTTTAAACATTCATATATATCATCCCCAAGCATGTACGAATCAATCACCATTTACTCCATATAGCATGTAAATGAACCAACTCTACCACATAGCGTCATACAACCTTAAACAACCTTTCAATCCACATGACAACGCCTCATAACATCATAACCAAATCAGTTTCTATCCTTGCATTGCCTAATAACTCAAAAACATCAAGATAACATATATATCCCTTCAATAACTGTCAAGGAAAATGATACACAAAGAGTTGTACTTATCCAAATGATATCAAACCTATCTCAAAAGAAAGCTAAGAGAATAATCTATAACTCTTGTGAAGGTATGAAATTCTAAAAAGATCATCTACTTAGCTAAAAATTCAAAAACCACAACAGATATATTCAGCACTTACAGCTAGACCTCTGATCACCAATGCAACTATAACTGGAGTTCTAGACCTCCATTTTACTTGATTCTAGTTCCATTTCAAAAGATCCCCTACACCAGACAGCAATAGTGTATCAACATCTAAGCCACGAAAATACCTCAACCCTTCCAAACTCACTCCTTTCTACCTCAAACTCATATCCAAGCTTCCCACCAAAACAACTCACATATTCAGCACAAAATACTTAGAAACTAAATTATAATTTACATGCTACCTAAACCATAAAAGGTTAACATGCAAGCACCAACACTTAAGGGAATTACCAACATTTCAATCTCTCATCAAGAAAACCAAAACTCCAATTCTCAACATACAACCTCCTTGGATTCAATCGCTACAACTATAGATTTTAGAAACTCCATCAACCATCAACTCTTAATACACTGATTCTTCCTGTTTCTTTAATGGCTGGTGGAAGTGGTGCCGGTTCTTCTACGCCTGCCAGGGGCAAGGCGCGTGGCAAGGTAGTGGCTACCGGGAAAGCTGCTGTCGAGAAGAAGGACCCGCCTCCGCTCAAGGACCTGGAGCCAGGCATCCCTGGTTATGATTGGGTCAAGCGCGAAATGGGGGGGGTCCAAAGTGTGTTCAGATCGTTTCTGGAGGTCAACGCGGTTTGGAGAACGCACCGAATATGTGACCCTTCCATTTCCCGGATGATCCGGCTCGAACCCTATCCGACCGGTGAGGGTGTGTACATGGGGAGGCTACTGACCCTCCCCATTTATATGTCTACTAGTGTCTCTTCAGGGACCTAGGCGTCTGTCTTCCTTTCA